TGGTCGTTTCACTTTGAGGTGAGTATTTAAACCCAGATGGCCTATCGTAAGTGAACACCATCAAGATGACATAGCTGTCGAGTTCATTGCCCAACAAAAAGTTTGTTTATGTAATTTGGTGATTGTGGACTGGACAATCGGCAATCTGATCACTACGATGAGGTGCTAGGATGAGATAATCTTCGAAGCAGAGATGTCTGGACAATTTTGAAGGTCCTCATGTGAGCTTTTCAGGTAATGATTCTTTTGAAGGGAAACTTAGATCAGTCGGCTGCTGTATGAATTGAGGTTTCCATGATCCCAGCCAGGCATGTAGTCAAACTCAGAAACGATTAGTGGAACAGGAGCTGAGGTGGTCCATTCTGTGGTTTTACAGCTGCAAGGAGTGCCTGTGTTGAAGGGGTTAAAGGGTACATCAGGTTCAGACATCACGCCAAAGCTTTTACAATCTTAATACTTCTAATAAGAAAGCCTGAGTCCACGTTGTTATATGTGGCTTCACATGATGCATTTCTGTCTAAAGCTTTCTAAAGGGTAGGTAGTCATAGTTAATTTTTTGGACGCATGCAGTAACCGAGAGCGCACAGGCCTGAGAACTGAATATCCTCGGACAGAGGTGACTTGAGGATCATGCCCGTGTATATATAATTCATATAGTATGTGTATCACGAGATCTGTGGTGAAAAGCTATTTTGCAGTTTTGATTTTATAGCAATCACTCCTTTGCGAGAACAACATAGGTGTCGTAGTGTCTGGGGAGTTTTTGTAGGTATAAACCCTATGTTTCTCCCCCATTGAAGTCTGCCACTAGGTTATGTGAGAAGCTATTCGTTCACTAAGTAAATTCTACAATCAATATGCATTTGAAGAGGGAGCCTCGAAACCAGGATAATCCAAACTACCCAAGAATTTTTCATTCGGAGGAAAGCGTAATACTGGAAGGGCCATTAATGCTGCAGAATCCTAACAACACGAAGACGAATAGAGTAAAATAGAAATTATTGGGGGAAAATAGGGAAATAATACCAACAGCAAAAGAGCAGGTTTTTATTATTGAAGAAAAAGCAATCTAGTGGCAACCATTGCAATTGACGGAACTCTTTTTTTAAAGAACCTTTCATCAAAAGGCTGGTAAAACCGCGTTGCCCGAAGGAACGGGAAGTAACTCGTGGAACAAAATCCAACGGTACTTGCTCCGAAACGCAGTTGAATGCAAAGTATGGACTTAATTTCTACATAGGTTAAGTTTCTTCTTCACTCTTCTTCGAACAGTGAGAATAATGCGTTAAGCCTGGCAAGCTATTGGTAAACACCTGCAGACTGAGAACAAGAGTAGTACAAATTGATCCTTTTCCCCTAATCTTGAAGGAGTGATCTGTACTTCAACGTAGTTGGTATCGCTCGAGATAGATTGCAAAAATTTTGGGACTGCTTGAAGCTACGATCAAGGTGACGATCTGTACTTCCCACACATCGTATAGGAAGTAAATACATATTGAACAATGATGGTTCAAACCATGAAAATCAAGTATGACACCGTCGGCTTGGCCGGAATGAGAACATATCCATCTGTCCGATTTCTAGACTGACAAAGAAGTGTTTTTGTAATATGCGTTGTACGTGTAAGCCTTTTCGTCAACGGGCACTTGCCCATGAGCATGGATTTCTACAATGCTTGACAATCCCAACGTCTACTGATTAGCGGCTAAGCACTCATTTGGAAACCATGGCCAGCGTTGATTCGGTCGGAGGTCGAGCGTTATGGCGATTTTTCAGCAGTTTCTATGTATTATTATTGGAATAGAGCCTTTTCAACCGAAACAGCAAGCAGCTATTGTAACAACCCCAATCAACTGCTAAAGTGATCTTTCACAGGCATTCCCGGTTCTGGTTCCCCTCAAATGCTTCTTCAAACCAAATCGAAACGATAGATTGACGTATTAGTGGAAGTCCACTGTAAAAACCTCGTAAACCACAGCTTGATTACGAGCCTCTTTTGGTTATTTCCATATTTACACGTTCCCTATCTCCACCTTTCGATTAATTTCCTGGGTTTTCGCATGCACTCTGTGAAAACTCCTTAATGGCTAAATATGTAGTATGATTCAGCAGTAGAAGGCGTTTTTAAAAAGAGGCGGATCGCCAGATTTGTTTCGCTTACGTTTATCCACTGTTTTGTTTTCAGTTGAAGGCGTTGACTTCAAAACGCATTCCAATGGGAATTGTCTTTCCGATTCTCGGAAACCGATTATTTCCCATTGTGTTTCCCTCAGAACTGTCATTATCGTCTACACCCATATTCTACATCTTCTACAGTATCGAGTGTATCGTAGCTGTTTTTACTGCACCACTACTCCTCAAATTTTGCTGTACTCTCGATAAATCTGCTCTATTCCATCGTAATGTTATTATTATCATCAAAGTAAGCTGCTGTTCCTTTCCTCCATTATTCAAACTTTGTAAAAGCATAATCCTTGCATTAAATGTAATGTTGATGAGCCCTCAAGCTAGCATTCGGTTAAGGAACTTTGTCCCACTGACCAATCGTTGGCGCTCTAGACAGGTACCGCTCTACTGTGGTCCCTCATCTTTTCTATTATTCAAACTGGAAATGTTTGAAAATCGAAATTTCACTCACGAAGATTTTCCACACATATTGAAATCCAGGATTGCACGGATTGAAAAACGTGGATAGGTGAAATTCTTTTTGTGAGTGGTTCGAATCGATCAGAGGTTTTATACATAGAAATTTGAAGCAGAGTTGAGATGGATATTGAAATAATTCTGCTTCAAAAGCGCTGTTTTTTCAGAGCTTTACATCATAAACGGCGTGAATTTGTAGTTCCGTTGAATATATGCAGCTAAAATAGCCGCCTAACTTATTGGAGTATACATGATGTGTGTTTTTGTATATGCCTGGTCGTGAGCCTGACGTTTATATTCTCTGCTTGTCTATCTACCACAAAATCCGGTATTATCTTTGGAAGCACCTGGAGAGATTGCTCCAAATTAGAGAAGGGTGGGGTCTAAAACATGATCATCGGAGTACATACGAGCAAAGGGGAACGCAGCCCACAGGTAGTGGAACATGCATCGGAATAGTCAGTGTCATGAGAAAAACTTTATAATTTGTTTAAAAAATACCAACACAGAGGTAGATTATGGCCAACAAGCAGGCGAAATAGACTCATTTCCGGTATGTCGAGCGCTCTCATAGTGTTCGGTATTTTTTTGGCGCATAAGTCCTTGTACATTCACTCAGCTGATGAGGTATCCATACCCCGTATCTCCACGTCTTTCCGAGGCGATGCAAGTGGCCAGCTACTGTCCTGTGATGGCTATTAAGCTCCTGTGCCAGCTCGCGGATACTACGTCTGGAATCCTTTCAACCAGCTCTAGAAGAGGTCGTCATTCAGCTCAACTGTTCTCCTTGATTGTGTTTCTTCGGTCAGGTCACAGTGGCCATTCTTAAACTTGAGTACCAATTTCTTGCCGTGCTGTAGTGGGCATCGCATCACATATATTCCTTGTCGCATGTTACGTACTGACGTTCCTTCTGAACTCATAAAGTAGAAGCGTCCTTGCTCTGAAACGAGAGCGATTGTATCAGCCATGACCGTTGCGAAGTGCTGCGGCGGATATGGTGCGATGAGTGCATTGATCTGCACAAACACGTTTCGCAATGAAGATATCAAAGCAAGTCGCAAGATTTCACGACATGGAAAAAAAGTACAAAGACTTATGCGCCAACCTAATACCTGAACTTCCAACCTATCACAGATTGTAACAAGGTTTTTGAGGGCTGGAGCTCAAATTAAGAATTCGTAACTTCCTCAGATGCGTCCTTCATTGTGAGGCATGCGCGTTGGTGTGTGGAGCAAAATTGATGTAAGTTATAAGGACGCGTAATGTCAAGATTCAGTCGGAGGCCGCAAACTTTGGAGATAAAACTTATACGTGAATGACATCAGAATGAACCAAGTACAAACGATTCAGGAGGTGATACGATATTGATGTCAATATGATCCTGATAACGGTTTTGGAAGTGCATGCATATACAATCCACAATATCTTTTTCTAAGCTCTGATCACCCCAACAGCAGGTTAAAGGCACAGTTCACGATGATTTTGAGGTACCAGTTTCTATT